GTGTGTGTGTGTCTCTCTCTCTTTCATACATAGATATGCCATGCTGTTCACTTCACTGAAGAACTCATTTGTGGCAAATGTTGCTGAAGCTATGCCCAATAGCAGGCAGCAGCTTTTTTAGGTGCATATGATATGCATCAAGTTCCACATGACCACTTTCTGCACTGAAAAACTCATATTGGGACTCACTATTGCACTGTTTGTGCACAAATTAACAAATGTGTTGTCTATGTGTGTTATGAGCATATTGAACATTTTAACCTTATGAATTGTCAAACTGAGGGCTACTCAGTTAAGATATCTGACTCCTTGGGATATTTGCAATGTAAAGTTCTTGTGCATATTGCAGGGCAAAGTGGAATGTGAGGCATAAATATATTGAGAGGTGAATGTTATTCTTTCATCACTATAGTGCTGCAGTAAGCACACAATAGAAGCAATAAGGTGATACGATATCTTATAGGAATCTGCTAGATTTTGGTCTGTTCTGGATAACAAAGCATCAGTGAACACTGCCTTCCCCATGATATGATGTTTCAAGTGGTTGAGAACAGGGTAAATAAGCTCAGTGAGGAACAACTGACATGGTCTGCCATGGTAGAAATACAGGTAAATACAGGGTATATGATGTAACATAGTGATGGTATGTGCAAACAGCAAAAGCAATGAAGGGGGGCTAGGTTATGAAACTCCAGGATATGACACCCGTGACCCCCAGAAATTGAGTTACTCAAATATACATTGTTCAAAAATAATCGTTTTCGATTTTGTGCCAGGAAGTTTGGGCAGCATGAATGATGAAAGCAATGTAGCTGTCTGTGACTATGTTAAGTAATGCTGCATTTTTATGAATATGACTGCAGAAATGTGATAGTAAAAATTGCAAGGGATGACTGGAATGAGCTGGTTCTTATTCACAAGGTGACAAGCTTTTTTGAAAAAGGCTACAAAACTTGATTTACAATGAGATGGAAGGTAGGCTCCATGGTAATCTATAAACATTAACAATATTACTACCAAAGGTGTTGTTTCAACCTGAACACACTGTAAAGAAGACAGGGTTAGATTTCCTACTTTTTATAACTGACCTCACCATCCACTCAAATTTTAGAGAACCAGTATGGTATGCATGTCATCTGCTAAACCTACATTTACCGCATGATCTCACCAAATAAAGACATAAACACAAAGACATCAGGCCAACAAAGAACCACAAGGGCCCATGGAGGCTGGTCTACCCTAGGTTCCCCACCCATCCTTGAGCAAATCTTACCACCTGACCGGCCTGCATTTGGCTATGAATGACATCCTTAACCCCACAGAGCTTGTCCACACAATTTTTAAATTTTGCCAGGCAGGGACTTCCTACATCTTCATTTGGCAGTCCATTTCAGTGATTCACTACTCCTTCACTAAATGACATCTGCCTCTTCATAGTTCTAATCCTACCTTTGCTAATTCAAACTTATTTCTCTTACGTCTCGGCTTAATTTACGGTGCTCCTTGTAGACCTACGATGTCTATCCTTTCATCCTCTTGAAGACCTCTATCAAATCTCCTCTAAGTCTACGATATTTCGGTGAATACAAATACAAGGCCTTAAACCTATCCTCATGTTTTATGTCACCAACCCGCATGTATCATCTTAGTTGCTTTTTGCGTACTCTCCCCGGACCATCAATATATTTTTGGCAACAGGGGGAACAAGTTGTACACAACACTCTAGGCGTGGTCTGACATGACCTCAGTACAAATTTTTGACAGCATTTTCTTTTGTGATGACGATGATGATGATTTGGGGTTTTAGGGCGCATCGACTGCTAAAGGTCATGCAGCGCCCAACTATCGATTCATGCAGAGCCGTCAATCAGAGAAGTGCATCAATCAGGTCACCCTATAGAGCCATGATGATCGGCCCTAGCATCATGATGAGAAGATTACAGGAAAATCTATAGCGCGAAGGAACTGGAGCACTTTGCCAAACCCGACGATGTTCGAAGAATCCCCTAAAAAGTCGCATAGCGTGCGACTCTGGACGTGGCGTCCGAAAAACTGCGCTCTCGTTGCAGTAAGGTGGCGGCAAGCGACCAGTACGTGATGCACGGTCAGTGGATCAGAGCATCGACCGCAGCATGGTCTGTCGCCAGCCAGCAGGTGACGGTGCGTAGCATATGTGTGACCTATGCGTAACCGGCAAAGGGCAACTTCTTCCACCCTATTGTCCCGAAAGCACGACTGCCATAATCCAATGCGGGGTTTCACCGACTGCAGCTTGTTGGCGCTCAGCGAGTTCCAGTAGAACTGCCATCGCTTCTGCATAAACAGCGACACTGCGGGGTACATGTCTTGAGCAGGTAGTGGTGTTATAGGAATTCTAGTCCCTGTCGTAGCGCGCTTTGCTGCCGCGTCAGCAAGATCATTTCCGCATATCCCCACGTGACTTGGGATCCAGCATAGAACGACCGTTTTTCCTGCTCGATCCAGTGAGCTAAGACGAGATTGAAGTCCTGAACAGTGATTCGACGGGAGAAGCCAGCTACACAGCCAGCAGGCTGCTCAAGGAAGTCGGAAAGAATAAATGCAGATTGCTATCGTCCACTTCAATAAAACAGAGAGCTTGCTAATGGCTATAAGCTCGAAGTGTAGACCGACGCGTGTGAAGGCAGTGTGAATGACCGTGTGGTGGATCCGCACAACAAAAGCGCACCCTACACCTGCATCCGTCTTCGAACCATCTGTATAAGTCATCTTGTACCCGTCAAAGGAGGCCATGTGCTCTAAGGCTGCGCCTTTGAGTTCCATCATGAGGACATGTTGCTTTTGCATATTTGATAGAGAGGCATCACAGAGAGGCATTTCATTTGACACAGAGAGGCATTTTTCTTTTGTCTTTAATGATGGGCACTCCTGTAAACAAGTCGGCAGCATCTGAAGCACTTTGCCCCCAACCCAAAGTATTGCTTTCAGGCCTTCAAATTCCCTGGAAATTATAACCCACAAGTCCTGTTTGTCCTCAATCTGGTACAACTCTCGGCCTCACATTTTTTAGATAATGCCCCCTCACTGTCAGAACCACCCTAAAGTATCACCTTACACATATCATAATTAAATGACATTTGCCACAGAGAATCCCAGGTCACTAATTTCTCTAAGTCAAGTTTCATGTGGTCTGCATTTTTTGGCACCCCTTTTAATTTAATATCAGGCAATTTAAGAACCTTACCTTCTCATCCTATCTCAATATTATTCACACAAAAATGAGGGCAAATGACCCCAACAACCAACCCCTGTGGAACCCCAATCTTGTCTGGCTCCTGCTGAGGTTTAGTACCATTGAGCACAAAAATGGCTTACTGACAAACCTACCACATCCCTCTCCACCACTTATGACTTTTCATCTTCCTCAAGGGACCAACAGAGAATCCCTTAAGATTGGAATTTGTAGTAGCTAAGAAAATTCTAACATCAACAGGGCAAGTGTCTGCTAGCCTTATTTCTGATATTACTTTTGCTTTCCTGACTCCCTTCTTTAGTTTTTTTGTGGCAATCCTATATACTGCCCTCCTGCTTTTTGTGTGTCTATTACACTGCTGCCTTCTTAACTGCCATCAAAGTGTGCACTGACTGTGTCAGACATGGAAGCTTTCTTGAGCTATTTTCTTCATCTGATTTCTTCACACATATCTGTGTCCACATCCTGACAACCATTTGGGGGCCTATAGATATTTCCAACACATAATTTATTGCCTTTTGCATAATCAAATCAGTCCAAAGGAATTCTGCACCACCTCTCTTCTTCATGCCATTCATCATTTCACATTCTATATTCTGCCTTACATAGACTAGAATTCCACCTCCTTTTTTGTTCTCCTATGAAAAGTTAAACATATTGTACCTAGATACTTCAAATTCTTGTTAACTGCCCCACCAAAAAGGTGCTCACTGATCCAAGGTTCAGTGATAGTTGCCAGGTCAAATTTTCTTCCAGCATGTAAGCATGGAGCTCACCAAGCTTGTTCCTGATGCTTCTTGCATTTGTATTAAAGCATCAGAAACAAATGCTTATATGCAAAAGATTACACCAATTTGGCTTTTACCTGATAAACAAATTTTGTACACTAAGAGCAGATAAGTTAACTTTTAAGTGATCAACCATTGGTGTAGAAATCAGGGACAGCATGGCAACATATTATGTAAATGTAGCATCCTCTGTATGGCAATGGTTGGTAAGGAAGGTGGCTGCATCCAGCCTTTCAAAAAGTCCAGTTATTTTGCAAGCTTTTTTTAATGCATGTGGTGTTTCCTCCTTGTAGTCAGGCAGTGGTGGTAGTTTGTAGTAGTTTGAGCACTCTGCTCTGAGCCTGCCAGTCTTGGGTTTGGGTCCCTGCCATGTCACCACTGCATTCTACAAGATACCTAACAAAGACATCTGTCTTAAAATGGCCCTGGCATTTATTTAAGTGTTCAGATATTAAGATGCTAAGCCCCTGTCAGCAATAGTTTGATTATTATTGCTCCTTTAAATGGGAAATCCTTTACAAGTGTGTTGCTTCAGCACTAGTAGAAAATAGCATGGATCAAGCATAAAAGGCCAGGGGCAAAGGAAGACCTCACATGTTGGATGGACTGAAAGGCATTGTTGTATCTCTTTCAGTCAATGCTCATGAGGCTGATGTGTTTTTAAAAGTTTGGAGGCTTACTCCACTGGCCACCTACTTCCTGCACTGCTGTCAGACTACCATTACAGTGAGAAATGAGGCTTCCATCTTCATGTAGACAAGACAGCACTGCTGTCCAAGGATAAAATCCCATATGCTCATTTCTAGCCATTTTGTGTTTCTTATGTCATCTCATGTCTCACCTTATCACAGTTGTCTTCTCATGCTGCATTGTAGATATTTAAATCATTATTTGAAATTTTCACAAACTTTTAGCCAAAAGGATGGGCTAAGAGTTTGTGAAAATTTTAACTCATCATTTAAGTAACCAACATCAGCATGAGTAGATGAATCAGATGGTATAAAAAGCACAACATCGCCAAAAGTTGACATATAGGGTTTTACCTTTGGATGGCATTACTACTGTAGCAATACCCTTTTCCCTGGCAGAAAAACGGAAGAATAGCGATAAAGGTGCGTTAATATTTCAACCAAGCACAAAGGCACAAATAGCAGAAGTTTTTATTTTCAATCCACTTACATTACCCGTTTCAAAGAAGGCATGTTGCCGAAATATCAACGCATCTATGTCTATTCTCGTGGTTTTCTCCGCGGAACAAGGTTATTTCTACTGTGCTATCTATGTTAATAATATTCAACGCAAATGCACTTAAGACTTACCTCCCATCCCCATCTGATTTCAAATTTGCCAATGAACGCGATTCATTGTTAGTTTTCTGCGTCTGTAACGAACCATATGCGTATTTTATATCACAGTATCAAGTGCTTAATGCATTGAGTCCAATTAATACGTCTCTTGTATGAAATCCATGCTGCACTGCCAACTTTTAGATTAATGCCGTTTTTATTTTCAAAGAAAATATTTTTCTCGAGGAACAGCAGCTATTTCTGGTGACGCTTTGACATATTCATATAATACAATGTAAAATATGAGGTGCTCATCGCCTGTTGCCATGGCAACACGCGACGCTAAAACTGGTGTACCATCCGCAGTTTGGGTGGTGTGTGCTTAAGGTGGTGGTTGGGCCAGCCGCTCTTGCTGCTTACGTTTTTGTCGTAGAAACCTAACGAGGATCGCTCTCAGTTCGAAAGCTCAGAAGCATCTGGATTAGTTATAACGCCCAGTCACCTCAAAGAGCTACTTTTAAAGATGAGCAGTACGGGTGATTAGGTAGTACCACGCGTCTGGGAACCGCGTGCCTAAGGACCACAAGATAATGGTGCTTAGTAAGTTGACAGTACTTAACAAGATTTGCAATGCACATGCATAATGCCGAAACCGAGGATGCGCATTCTCCCCGAATGTGAAGTGATTTAATGTCGGGGTTATTTGCTGCCTGGGGGGACAGAATTTGTCGACCCCAGAAATGTGCCCGGATCTCAAGGGTGGATCCAGGATCCCATATGATTCCATGTCTGTGAGATCCCGTGATCTTTTTTGGCGGGGGGAGGGAGGAGGAGGCTGCAGGTAAGTGTCTGGCCATAGGCATCATGTTGACAATGGGTGCATTGAGCATTCTGCTAAAGCCCGACCTCCGTATTACCCTGCCACTTCAGCGGTGGCGTTTGCACCTCTTCTGTGCCTGATACGTCTCCGAGTACGATGGCCCAGCCCGAGCCCAGGCCGAAATCCAAATCATTCACGTCTGTCGCCCACAGGATGGCGACGCCTGACGTGGCTGCTGGAGTTAAAACGTATACCTCTCGCGGCATTTGTTGTAGCCGCCACCTTCAGCTCCGAATGTAGCTTGGGTGGGTTCCCAACGTGACCGGTGACAGACACTACGGCCCTTGAGCTGATGCATCCTTGATATATATATATATATATATATATATATATATATATATATATATATATATATATATATATGGGCGTGGGCGTGGGCGTGGGCGTGGGCGCGGGGGGTGTGGGTGTGGGTGTGTGCGTGTGCGTGTGCGTGTGCGTGTGTGCTCCACTAAAAATGACCGCTGACTTGGCATTGACGAGCTTTCATATGCATTGTTGTACTTTTCGGCTGTTGACTCAGCATTATTGTTTAGATTAAAGATGTTTGATACAAAATCACTCGTATCTTCGTCGCTCTTTACGTTCTTATGTTCCGACATCTTAACTCGTCGCAGGAGAACACGGAATGGCGCAAAAAATAAGGTTGGAATTTTAAAGGATGAAAATCGTGCACTGCTATCGTAAAACATCTTTTGGTACGGTAACACAAAAAACATGGCTTATTGAAGTGAGACAGAATCCTGTTTTTACTTTGATACATATTAAGTACACTCATAATGGGAACGCTACAAAGACACAAACATATTGCCACAATCACGATAATAGTGCTCACCGCCCTCCACTTAATAATTCAAGGGTTGTACACAAAATTGGTCGTCTGTTTAGGGCTGGAGAGAGTTCGTTAATGAATACAGTCTCCCAAATTTTAATGCGTCTTCCGTCATTGCACGTCCATAAAATATCAGTGTTGACTGTCACTTGTTGTGTCAATGCCCTGTCGTGTTCGTGTCGCCCATGGTCCAGAGGCGCCCCGTCACGTAAATACATCGTCAGACATCGTGAGAGAGTCGTTGTGGTCACACCATTGCAGTGTATGGAACAATGTTTGCGGCCTTTGATGAAGCACTCGAATTGATACACTACGTTGGTGCATTTTGGTTTGTCGGGTGTGCCTGGGCTGTTTCCCAAAAGAAAGTCAAAGATTTTGTTATTGCGATGATACATGACGATGTCTATTTTGTGGTCGTTCTTGCCCTTTAGACGTCGAAAGATGATTTTCCGTAGAGCTTTTTCGCCTTGTTTGTGGGCAGATGTCATTTGATTTTGGTGATACAGTTGGACGGTTGGTTGGTTGTCTTGTTTTGGTTTGCTGTCAAACTGTCTTGTCATATGCCGTTGTATTTCGTTTTCAACGTCAGAATTTGAAAAGCCGTTGGGATAACATTCGTCTCGAAATTCCCCCTCTCAAAATATAAAAGCGCCTTCTTGAACAATTGCGAAAAGCCTGTGCGCTGGAAGTTTCTTTCCGCGGGTCTGATGGCCGAATGTATTGCCAAAGTGAGGGTGTTGCGACTAGCTCACCGCCAGGACCGTTATTCGCTAATTTCTTTATGGGACATGTAGAAACCGACACACTACAAAATGACGACATGAGACCGGACATTTTCTGTTGCTATGTTAACGATATGTTCGTGGAGGTTAGAGACATTGACCAACTAGAACGTCTCAAAAACACCACTTCAACAGCAGTCTGGTTCAAATTTCACAAAAGAGCTCAGTGTGCAAAACATAATATCCTTTCTTGGCGTGATTATTAATGGAAAAGGACAGCGATTGAATACGACTGTACCGAAAGCAGACTAACAACGGACGGTGCTTGAATGCTGACCGTGAGTGTCCTCGACGCCACAAAATTTGCATGATAAGGTCATTCATTATATGTGCATTTAAGCACTCCTCTGATTGGACAGGACTGCATTTGGAATTGGCGCGAATCAGACAGATCTTGGTGAACAACGGTTCTTGAAATTCTGACGTTGAAAACGAAATACGACATATGACAAGACACACGTCAGCAAGCCAAGACAAGGCAACCAATGAACCGTCCAACTATATTATCAAAATAAAATGACATCCGCCCACAAACAAGGCAAGAAAGCTCTACGGAAAATCATCTCCCGACATGTAAAACGTAAGAACGACCACAAAATGCATTGCCACTTATTATTGCAACAAGAAAACCAGCTTTCTTATGAGAAATAACCCGATCAAACCCGACAAACTAAAATGCACAATTTTGGTGTATCAATTCAAATACAACATCGAAAGCTGCAGACATTGTTCCGTACACTACAATGGAGCGACCACGACTCTCTCACGACGCCTGACAGTGGACTTACATGAGGGGGCACCTCTGAACCACATGCGACACGAACACGACAGGACATTTACACGACAACTGACAGACAACACTGACATTTTACGGACGTGCAATGGCAGAAGATGCCTTCAAACTTGGGAAAGTATATTAATCAATGAACTCTCTTGCCCTAAACAAATTCTTGTACAACCCTTGAATTATTAATTGGTGGGAGGTGAACACTATTGATGTGATTGTGGCAATATGTTTGTGTCTTTGTAGTGTCCGCATTATGAGTGTATTTTATATGCATCAAAGTAAAAAGGAATTTTGTCTCACTTCAATTAGCCATGCTTCATTTGTGTTCTCCGTACCAAAAGAGGCTTTTAAATAGTAGTGCACAATTTTCATCCCTTAAAACTCCAAACGTATTTTTTGTGCTATTCAGTCTTCTCCCACCATGAGGTAAGATCTCGAAACGTGAGAATGTAAAGATCGGCGAATATATGAGTGATTTTGTACGAACTGTCTTTAATTTAAACGACTAATGCTAAGTCAAAAGTCCCGAAACTAGATGGGTGCAAAAAATAGTTCTTCAGTGCCGGGTCGGTAGTCATTGTTAAACAAACATGCATAAAAGTAAGGATTCTGCCGAAATATTCCACCATATATATGCATATATATATATATATATATATATATATATATATATATATATATATATATATATAAATGTATATGTATATATACAAATGCGTGTATATATCAAGTATTATGTATTGGTTTGCACAGTGGACAAATTGCTCAAATGGCCCAGACATGGCAGCCTGTCCATATGTGGGTCTGCCGCCTGAGTGTGGCCGGTTCCCCCCCCCCCCCCCCGCCGCGGTCGTGTGGTCTGAACCCCTGACAGAGTATTAATAAATGCTGGCTGGCCGGCCGCAGCAGCGATCTGCAAAGTTACAACAGTGATTTAAACATATACATTGTCGTGCGCGACGTAAGGAAACGTGTGGATATGATGAAACCGTGAGAAGGCTATCGCCAGTTAACGCGACTGTGTTCAGATCATGCCATGATGGCGATTACTGAATGCGACCGACAGCCGGTACCACGCTGGCCAACGCGTGGCAACCCAGGAAAAATGCCTGCAATCGCGTGCGAAGAGTGCCTTGGTGTGCTTTTGATGGCATTGCGACGGGGCTATGAGCTGGCACCCAAACCTGCTTGTCGGCCGAATCGTCCATTTTGTTTTGGTGACCCGTGACGGGTCATCACTCGATGCAGGCGGGCAGGCGGAGGCGTCAATTTCCTAAGTTACGGTGGTCAGCGCAACTTTTTTCGTTCTCAGCGGATGCGACTGAGCGGAGACGGTAGCATTGTGGCGGGGCAGTGGGCCGGTAGCTTAGTTCGGTTGTTCACATAACACCCTGACGGTGCAGCACTGATGGTGCCGACTGGCCGGTAGCGTGGCAGCCACCATACCGCGGACCGGGAGAAACACTGGATCGCGCGCGGGGAGTGCGACTATGCGCATTTCATATCACTCTTCTGCCGGCTGGCACTTACAAATGCTTGTCGGCCGACGGTATACATATAATTTTTTTGGTGGGGGGGGGACCCCGGACTGCGCATCACTCAAGGCAAGCTGGCCGGTGGCAGCGGCGATTTGATCAGTTACGGCCGTCATCAAGTCATCAATCATCAAATCATCGTCGTCAATGGCGGCGGCTGCAGCCGTGTGCAGACGACGGCACTGTGGGAGCGCTGTCGACCGGCAACATCAGTCGGTGTACGGGAGCCATTTCCCGTTTTGTTCATTTCGCCCCGGGCGGCCCATTACTGAATGCTATTGGCCGGCCGGTAACGTGGTGGCCAACACATGGAGTATGTTTGCCGCTAATCGATTGATCAGCAGGTGCCCAAAAACGAATCATGTGTGATTTTTTTCTGTACAGCATCGCGGCAAGTCATGTCATCTGTATCAATAGCCAAGAAAACTTTTTCCACTTTGCGTGGTTGAAACCCTTTGAAACAATGCCTGTTGCTCATTCGGACATTTTCAGTACACTTTTAATCGTAGTGAGCAGTGTGAAATGTAGCTGGGACACCCGGTAAGCAACCATACTGACCAGTGGAACTGCAGCACGTAAGAAGCCATTGGTTGCCGTGGTACCGAGCTCAGCGTCTGCCTGTCTGTCAGAGCTGTCGTGCTAAAATGTGCCATCTAGCATGACCGCAGAATCTTAGTTGCATACGCCATTCGAAGATGTGGCTTGAGTGCACCCATGATGTGCGCCTCTGGATCGCAACGCGTGGGCCGCGTCTGTTAGGACTTACCCGCATCGAAGCCGGACCACATTTAATTGTGTTTGACCGCCATGGTCAGGCTACGATAATGCGTCACTGTTGGCCAGTTACGGAAGAGCTGGTGCGCAAGCGGGCTGAGCACAATGAAAAGGAGATCTTCAGCCTGGAGGAGCTGTCGCTGCATCAGTGTGACGTGGAACGGATCCAGCATCTGGACCGGTGGTGTCGACGTCTGCGCATTCTCTACCTGCAGTCTAACCTTATTGCCAAGATAGGTAGGCTGCAGCTGTGACGGTGTGTTTGCCGGCATTTGGCCGACATCTTTGAAAGCATGAATGATGCCAATGGGGGTTGTGATCATGATATTACGTTTCTGAGCGCGTTTAACGTATGCTCTGGTGGGTTAGTGCCTTTTGCTGGAAAGTTACGTTTGTTTCCCTTCACAAATATGAATGGTCTTCTGGATTGATATCGACACATGCCCATGTTATAAGGTCCATCCGGTACTGCAGTGACTGCGGTTACTTTAGGTATTTTTAGGTCTTGATGACGCTGCCGTCGCCGCTCTTCAGAGAACGTTGGTCGGCTGAAGCAGCTGGAGTACCTGAACCTGGCCCTCAACAGCGTGGAGCGCGTCGAGAACCTGGAGGGCTGCGAGAGCCTGACCAAGCTGGACCTGACGCTCAACTTCATCGGAGAGATTACGTCTCTGGCCAGCCTCCGACACAACGCTGCCCTACGCGAACTGTAAGCCGAGTGACGGCGGCCCACCGCATGGAGTTCCACCACCACCCTCCGACACTGCCGGGTGCACTCCCCAGTACTGAGTGCTGGGCGCCCCCTGGCGGCGGCCTGAGGCGGGAGGTGTGCGGGCCGCTGTCCGGAGGCAGCCGACCTGACTGCCGTGGCGGTGGCCCGAGACCGCAGAGTGTGTGTGTGTGGGGGGGGGGGGGGGGGGGTGGCGGACGCGTGGCGCCGCATGTAGCACTGCTGCGGCCGTCCTCTACGGCCCGCACCCGGCACGCCGTCGCTGCTGTCTGCTGCCGCCGCACCCGACGCGCCGCTGTGGCTGCCCATGGCCGTCCTCACCGGCACACTGTCGTGGCCGTGCGCGTTGGTCCGACCGCCGGGGAATTGTGCAGAGTTGATCGGGCTGGTGATCGTGCCCATTGCTTGCTGTTCACGCAGTCGCTGACCGTGCCGGGCGTCGGAGTTGCTGCCTCTCGGCTCCGCACAGACGTCTCCCGCCGCAGATTCCTCACGGGCAACCCGTGCGCCGACTACGAGGGCTACCGCGCCTGGGTGGCCGTCGCCCTGCCGCAGCTGGAGGTGCTGGACGGCACGCGGATCGAGCACTCGGAGCGGATCCGGGCGCGCCAGGCGTTCGCCCGCATCCAGGACGACATCGTCCAACAGCAGAGGCGCTACCTAGGTCAGTTCTTGGAGAGAACCGCTGACGTACCCAGAACGGGCACAGTGCACAGGGCCGAGCGTGAATGCAGCGGGTTATGCGCTGTCAACATTAGCGTGTGTTGTAATCCATGTTTTCTGATGCAAAGTGAGACGTGAGCTTTATTGCGCACGGACTAATTGGATTTTGCAATGCTCTCCATCGTAAAAGTGTGTTCATATTGCCTTACGGACCCTTAATGATGGTGTGTATCGCTGCCATGGTTGCACGCATTGCAGAGAAAAGGAAGCAACAAAAAGAAGCTGTACGGGCAACGAAAGATGCTTCAAATTTGAAAGATCTTAGTGAAGAAGAGCGAAAAAAGTAAGCGGGTTGAGGACATGTAGGCATTTATTGCACGCACGATAGCTCCTGAAATCATGTGAGACGTTATCCCGGGTCGCTTATCATCACCCATCGATGGGGCACTTGACCTCCTAGCCTACGAGGCCCAGAGCCTTCAGATATTAAGACGAATGAAAACATGTTAGCATCATATCTCAAACCAAAGTTGACGGCGACGCTCAAGTCGAGGCGGGTGGTGACTTACCAATGTAGCGTCGCTGTAGAACTACTGACCAAGGGAAGTGCGTGCCGGTGTGGGTATCACGTCCGCCCTCTTCTACGGGCCATATAATACAGGTGTGTGCTCTGCGGCCAGCCATGTCACCGATCTCTGGTCAGTTGAGGCCGGCTGGCTAGCGCCGTGCCTGGGTGGGTTGGGATAATAAGTTTTCATCCTGTTGCGGTGTGCCTTTATTTTAGAAGTCTAGACAGCCCGGCCGCTTCGGAAATCATGCTTGTCGGCAGTTTGTAGGTGCCTCGGGTTCTAGTAATAGCCTTTCAGTCCCTGTTGTGTGGTGACTGGTTTGTCTGTGCTCGATTAGTTGGGATAAGTATCAGTCTGTCGAGCGTCCTCAACTTTTTTGATGGATTCCGGCCTGCGTGCCTCGATACTCTTTGACTCGACGTGGCTCCATTCCCGTTCTGTATGCTTCCGGTGTCTGACAATATATGCTTCGTATGGTGAGTCCCAAGTTCTGTCTGTGTGCGCCTTCCAGTCCCCTTTAACGAGTCTTTCTCTTTCCATGGGTGCGCTGCAGGCTCTTCCGAACGAATCCCTCCCTCCCTGTGTGTGAGTGGTTGGGTGTGGATATGGGTGTGGTTGTGTGTATGCGTGCGCGTGTACTTGTGTTGTGCGTGCTTCACGTTGTGGTCGGGTCCAGGTTTTGGGCCGAGCGGACGCCGTACACGCCCGAGTCGCGGCTGGAGCTGCACCGCCACCTGGAGGCGTCGCGCGCCGCTCCGCCGCGGGACGAACGGCCCGCCTGGGAGGCGCCGGCCCGCCAGAGCCGCCTGTTCACCGACGACGGCCGGCCGCTCAACGTCAACAGTGCCGGCCTCAGCTTCTGGCTGGAGGATGACGAGCCGGCCCACCAGCTGCGGCTCCACCTGGACGTGTTCAGGTGGGGGCGCCGCCGCCGCTGCAGCCGCCCTGTTTCCGTCCGACGGGGCGCACGGGCAAATGCGTCGCAGATGGGGGGAGGGCAGGGGCTGCTGTTGCCTCCTGTTCCCCCCGTGGCTCCTTGCACCAGCGACGGTCTTGTTTTCGTTGCCCCCCCCCCCCCCCTCCCACAAAGTAGCTCCCTGAGCGCCAACTGCCCCCCCCCCCCCCCCCCGTGCATTGTCTTGTCCCCTGGCATCCAACCCCCGCGGTGCCCCTGTCCAGGTGCAGCCTGCGGTCAGAGCCGGAGCCCGAAACCGTACCAGCTCCGGTGCACGGTGATCACTCGAGCGTGCATCTGTGGCGGGTCCGTTACCCTCATAAATAGAGGAATATTTGGATCCACAGGTGTTTCACCTGTACAGGTGTAAGCGGAGCTTGGGAAGTGGCGATATCAGGTTTATTGCTACGTAGGTACCCGATCTTTGTACCACACTTGCAAAAGAGAAGCCCCCGCTCCCCGTGAATGACCGCGCTGCACTCCGAGAGAAAAAGCGTCTCCGAAGCAAGGCCGCCGTTCGCTTGACAGGCGTGGGTCTGAGTCCAAGAGCCACGTCCGAACTCGCAGAGTCCCGCAGCCGTATGTCTGAGGCCGTCTCCCGGTCGCACACAAATCGTGTCATGTCAGCTTGACACGGGCACAGATCACGGGTGTCACTTTATATATTTTCGGGGGGCGTGAGCCCCCACCCGATGCTGACTTGAGCTCCCAATGCTCCTCTGAGCTCCTTAAGGTATATGAGCAAACGGGGAATGCTGAGCCAAAACAATGCATAACAGTTATCCCAATTATTGGTATACTAGGCAGAAGGTGCCTTAAAACGTCACAATTAGCATCATTTTACTTTTGTACCAGATGGTATCGTGCAGGTACCGTGCGTTTATGTCCTGCTAACTTCTTCACATGTTAAGCCAGTCTTGAAATGTTTGGCATGTATGCCAAATGTTGATGTGTGGATCGGGATAAAGAGTAAATTGACTGCAATATGTGGCAGCTTTTAAGTGCACGGTGGCCCAGACAGAACTTAACGCATGTTTGCCTCACAGGGGCAAGTGTATTTGTCGCATACTCGTGGCTGTCGTGGTATAGGCGTGCGTAATTGCCGGCTGACCGTGACACCGAGCACGTGCGTGCGCGCCGCCTCAGACACATGGATACGTCTCTGCTGGAGGTGGACGTACAGCCGACGTACGTGTGCGTGCGGGTGCGGCAGCAGCCGTTCCAGCTGGTGCTGTCCGAGGAGGTGAAGCCGGACAGCAGTACTGTGCAGCGCTCCCAGGTCACCGGGCAGCTGCTGGTGACGATGCCGAAGGTAGCTGTCCTTGACCCGGCGGTCACTGTGCTGAAGGGTCGCTCGTGTCCAAAGAACGCCACTGATTCTCCAGCCGAAACTGTCGTACCTCACAACCAACCGGCCTCTGAGCAGCCTCCCCAGTCTGTTGACGGCTGCCGCTTGTGCTTACACACCCCCCCCCCCCCCCCCTCCCCCTCGGCGTACATATCAGCCGCGCCGAACGGTGCGAGGGCAATTCCGTAATGGCCGGTCGGAACTGGCTACAGCCAGGTACAGCGAAATCCTAAACCCGTAGACACAGTTTCTGTGAGTGGCATTCAACAGTTTTTTCAAAGGACGGCCATTTTGAGCAGCATATTTTCTGTTTTAGTCCCAGTTGAAGGTGTGTTGCGGCATTTCTAAACTGTGTGCGCCGTGCCAGGTCAATCTACATTCTGACCAAGGATATTATTTTGACGCTTCAGATGGCATGATCGCTTGTAAAGCTATTGCTGCTGTCGTGTGCTGTGTTGTTAGTTGTGCTGCAAGAGTTCGCCTGGTTGTTGAGCTGAGCAGGCGGCCTGCCGACATTTGATGGAGCTCCCACCTGAGGTTGCGACGGTCTGGTTCTCAGTTTGGACGCGCTCCTGTGGGACGGCCGCGCTGCTGATGGCCTGCTGACAATGGCCCGGATGTGTCGGCCCTGACCAGGGCTGGTGGTATGTCCTGACCAGGACCGGCTGGTGTGTCACCTTGGCCAGGGCTGGTGGTGTGTCGGCCCTGACCAGGGTCGGTGGTGTGTCGCCCTGACCAGGGCCGGCGGTGTGTCGCCCTGACCAGGGCCGCTGGTGTGTCCTGACCAGGACCGCTGGTGTGTCCACCTTGGCCAGGCCGGTGGTGTGTCGCCCTGACCAGGGCCGGCGGCGTGTCGCCCTGACCAAGGCCGCTGGTGTGTCCTGACCAGGACCGCTGGTGTGGTCACCCTTGGCCAGGGCCTGGTTGGTGTGTCGCCCTGACCAGGGCCGCTGGTGTGTCCCTGACCAGGACCGCTGGTGTGTCACCTTGGCCAGGGTCGGTGGTGTGTCGTCCTGACCAGGGCCGGCGGTGTGTCGCCCTGACCAGGGGCCGCTGGTGTGTTCCTGACCAGGACCGCTGGTGTGTCACCTTGGCCAGGGTCGGTGGTGTGTCCGTCCTGACCAGGGCCGGTGGTGTGTGTCGTCCTGACCAGGACCGCTGGTGTGTCCTGAACCAGGGGCCGCTGGTGTTGCCACCCAGTTCGCGGAGCGGCCCGCTCTGGGGGGTCCGGCGGCCTGGCCCACCTGCGGCTCGGGCCACCGAAGCCGTCGGCCGGTCCAGAGCCAAGCCCGGTGCCGGAGGACGAGCATCCGGAGGTGCCGCCGCTGGTCTGAGGCGACGGCCGGCCACCAGGCTGCGCCCATCGCAGCCTGGGCCCACCGCTGGCGATGGCGACCGTCGGTGTGTGCCTGACACCGGCCACGTGTCGGCCCCGGCCCCGGCTGCAGCCCCGTATGCGGGCCGGGCCTGCGCGAACACGTCCAGTGCGACCGTTACGACACTGTGAATCGCACTGGGACTCGCGCAGCCTCCATTAATGCACGCTCATCTGGCCCTGCACTCTCGTCTACGCCGCATTCTCATCTGGCCCTGTACTCTTGTCTCACGCCGCATACTCCTCTGGCCCTGTACTCTTGTCTCACGCCGCATACTCCTCTGGCCCTGTACTCTTGTCTCACGCGCATCTCTCTCTCTTCTCTCTCTTCTCTCTCTCTCTTCTCTCTCTCTCTACTCTCTCTCTCTCTCTCCTCTCTCTCTCTCTCCTCTCTCTCTCTCTCTCTCTCTCTTCTCTCTCTCTTCTCTCTCTCTCTCTCTCTCTCTTCTCTCTCTCTCTCTTCTT